ATGCACGTGGGCATTGTCAGTTTCACTATAGCTCTGGTGAATTTCAATGGTGAAGTCCTCTGGAAATCTTCAATAATTGTTGTTGATTGCAGATGTGTCTAGTAGTTCCCATTGATTTAGCTTGTAAAGCGGGGAGAATGGCGCTAGGCTTACCGCACCGTGACGTCACTGCTGGAAGATGGCAGGAGGGAGGGGCTACTATATTTGGGGAAAAATGGCAAAAATGATAATTTTATCTTTTTACTGATTAATGCTAAATTCATTAAATCACCACAAACGTATTAGTTTTAGGTATAGCTAATGATTAATTGATCATTCCTTGCTGACCGGACGTTTTCTTTAAAGCTCACCCTCATTACACTCCAAATATAAGTGTGATCCATAGCTGACCCTAGTCGGAGACAGAGCCTTCCTAGTCTTGGTAAAACTCTTTAAGCCAGAATATGCCGTTGTCTGGTTCTGTTGGCCTTCACGCCACCTGTCCCGTCATAGAATATTTTCCCGTCTTAAAACTGAGCTGCGTTTCTAAAACCAGGCTCCGAGCTGCAGTGGTTTCCCCCTTCCTAACCTCTCTCTGCATCTGGTAATGCTTTCAAGTCATCCAGGCCTCCAAGGGAAAAATGCAGCTTTGGTTGTACTGACTGTTTGTTTTGGTCCCCTACCAGAGTTTTCTCCTCTCGGCTTTGTGGGTCCCTCTCTGCGCTCCATCTCTCTGCTTTTCACAGGGACCCTCCCTGTTCCAAATCTAATTGTTGTCTTGCTGGTTGACCTCCTCCTACACTGAGAGTACTTCACATGAGATCAGACGGTAGAAAAATATTTGCTTCATCAATATTCCACTCACCGCACTCCAGCAAAGACACTGTAGTGTTTCATTCACTTGTCCCTGTGCTCTGTGTGGGTGGGATGGGCAACCTGTTTGACACCGCTGGTGGCCCCTAAAGGGAGACTCCCACCCACCTGGTGGACCACTGAACGCACCTTTTGTTTTAACTTCAAAGCCCTGCTCAGTGTCTGCAGGGAGAAAGCCGCTCTGCCTTTCTAGCGAGAGGCCTCCTTTTTGGGCTCCGTCGCTCCTTCCACCCTCCACCCCCACCCCAGCACACACAGATGAGTAAACAGCCTGTTGCTACAGAAGAAGAAAGCAGCAGTGTTGCTAAGGGAGTCCATTTATTTTTACCCAGCGAGTCTTCACCCTCTATTTATGGGGTTCCACTTCAGTTACCTGTGATGATGCTTTTGTTATTAGTAGAAACATTCGGAGGAAGAGGGGAAAAAAATCTCTCCGAGCTCTCGATTATCCTGCAGCACTTTCATTTTCCTGTCTGAGGGTGAGATGTGTGGGTTTTTTGTTCTGAAGAGATGCAGACAAAGAGCGGGCCCATTAAGGCCCTGCAGAGCAGGTACAAACCAACCAACGCTGGCTCTGACCACACACAGTTTGCCTCATGCTGTTAGGATTCCTTAGAAGATGGAGTTCATTGGCTGAGATGATAAATTAAGAGCAGCTTGTTCCTTTAGACGACACCTGCACTGCGAAGCGCCTCTCTGAAAACCGTTCTGACGTTCCTACTGTCTCCCTTTGGAGCTAGTTTGGCTGCTGCTTCGATGTTAGGGAAACTTATGTGAAAATGAGGCTTGGAAGAATCAAAAAGACAAAAAGAGCCACAGAACTACATTCTATCTGTAGTCTAAATGTTTGCAAAGAGCAGTAATAAGGAAAACTCTTTATTACTGTAAAAAACGATCTAGAAATAAGTAAAAACATCTTAAATTAATTTGAATAGATAAATAAGATGATCTGTAAATGGGATTAGTATTTTTACTCTTAAAATTAGTTAATTAGATAATATGCACTTGAAATAAAACAGTGCAATTGTTTGTCCACTGCAAAAAAATTCAATCTTAATAAGTCAATTTTTCTTGAATTGAGGAGGTAAGTGAGACACTTTGCCAATGGAACAAGACAATTTACATTTAAAATAAGAAAAAAACAATTGCATTGTCTTATTTCAAGTGAATTTTATCTAATTATCTTATTTTAAGAGTAAAAATACTCATTCCATTGGCAAATCCTCTTACTTACCTACTCAAATTAAGGGTAAATACACTTAATTTAAGTAATCTTTACTTATTTCTAGATTGTTTTTGCAGTGAATTCCTTTGGCAAAGTGTCTTACCACCTCAATTCAAGACAAAATGCACTTACTTTAAGAAATAATGACTTCTTTAGATTTCAATTTTTGCAGTATAAGACATGGAATCATTTTTTTGTTCTTTAAAGGTTGGTATGAGGGTCATAAGTCCCTGAACAGTGGTGCACCTTTACATGACGGCAGGACAATTAATTGTATTTGCAGTTCCCAAAATGCATTCCTTTTTGGACCCATTATATTTAAAAAGATTCAGTTCCTAACTTTCACCCACCTACCCTTTGGGTGGCGGCAAGGGAAGAGAAAGATGCAGCTAGAGGGCAGATCTCTAACTACCCGATCTGTACCATCAGCTCATTAGCGCATGTGCAAGCAGATATACATCAGGGTCGCCTTTCATTTTAATTTGTAAAAAAGATCTAAATTGCGTTTTTCCCTCCTTAAAAATAGTAAGCATACTAAACTATAATGTTTTAATGGTTAATAATACATTTCCTAAGGAAATAAATGCATAAATCTAGTCTTTCTGAGTTAAGACAAGCAGGTTAATGAGAAAATGTAAAAAGCATCATATTTTCTCAGAAAAGTTATAGAAATTGTTTTAAAGATTTGTATTAGAATTCTTTAGTGATTTAAGGATAGAAAAAGGTACTTTTAGTATCATAATTATATTATTTTTGGTGCCGTGGATGAATATGTGCAAATCAGCGGATGGTACGGATCGGGTAGTGACAAGAACCATGCATGCAAGCTAGTAGCACCACTCTGGACAAAGGAGCATTCAAGGCCACCAAAACAATGAACCTCTGGTGCTTATGTGTGGTCCAGATGAAATATGAAAACACATTTTGACATAATTGCGCAGCTCTAATAAATATGTGTGTAGACAGTGGAGTCGAGGACACAGAGAGGACCTCCTGGAGGTGGGAGATTCAGACTCTATAGAGCTGTCATCATAAAACATAAAGAGCTGACCTCCTATGTTCGCTTTAAATGAGAAGCCAGTCTAAGAAAAATTCAGATTTTATTCGCGCTCTCTTTGATCATTGTTGCTCTTGCTAAGCAGTGGGGAAGCAGTTTATGATTAATACCCTCATTGACTTTAAGAAAAAGCAAAAAGGATAAAATGATGATGCGTGACTTAAGGGCTGGTTATCCTCCCGCAGCAGTGTGTCGCAGATATTTTTTATTTATGCTCAATATTGAAGCGTGGTCTGCGCTATGTTATTCCACGCCACAACGCAACAGGGACAATCACAAACTAGCTATGGGTCTCAATACGGCCGAGGCGGTTAGGAAGTGGGGGCAAGTTTGTCCGACGTGTCCTTCCGAAAGGAGGGACATGAGGGCGAAAAAGAGCGAAAAAGAGCGGGGATCCAGGTGGAAAAAGGGTCCCAGCGTTCTCGCGCACCTCACTCTTCTAGCTGGTCCAACTTCACGAGTTGTTTTCCGCAATGGCGGTCATACAAACAAAACAAGTGGGTAAGGTACCAAACAGGAATCACGCATAGTGTAGAGCGGATGTAGATTTGACCAATCAGAGGCCTCCTGTCTGCGGCAGTGTCAGCAGTCACCTACAATTTTGGGGAGGTGCAGCAGAGTGTCTGCGGGTGGGGGGGGGGTCCAGGTTTCTGAGCCTGAACCAGGCTTCACTGTTAGCAATCCCATTTCTTTACAACTGGGAGCACGCCTACCCCTAGTGGTCAGCAAGTCCATTGCAAGGTTTAAATGAAAATATTTTATTTCTTAGGTAGTAAAATCAAATAGGGCTGGTATCAGTTCTGCTTTGTGAGGACCCAATTGAAAGATTAAACAAGCTTTTATCAACTAAAACCTGTTTTTCTTATGTGTTTGAGTTCACCTTCAGCTTTGACACACATCCAAACCAAGCAGAGGAACAGACTGGATGTAGAGAACAGCCTGGGATCAGCAGGTTTTCACACTGAGCTATCAGAGCTCATTAAAGCAGCTCAGGCGTCTTTATTCAATTCACTTTATTTCTATAGCACCACTTCACAACACGTCATTGATTCAACCTTTTCTATCTAAGGAAAACCAGTTGATTGCATTGACTCATTGCTCTTCAGCAATCCCTCACACCAAGCATGCTTGTAGTGACAGTGGAGAGGAAAAACTCCCTTTTAACAGGAAGAAATCTCCATCAGAACCAGGCTCAGTGTGAGCGGCCATCTGCTGAGGCCCACTGGGGTTCAAGGAGACAGAAGCAGAGAAACAAAAAACAGCTGTAAAAACTAATTAATTCAGTCTGACTATAATTTTTGTTCCCAATTCATCAACTTTAAATGCAGATTTATAATCTGATTTTATTTTGGAATTGTTTTCGTTCCTTACTAATGTCCTGGCAAAATATTTGTTTTTTGTTTGTTTTTTTAGATGAAAAGCATAAAATGCCTGATAATTAAATGATTAAATGCTCAAATTAAAATATTAAGCACAACAGTTTTTATTTTATAATGATTAATTGTACTTTCCACCTTTGGAAAATCATCAACAATTTTTAATTGATAAAGAAATTCATGGTCAGAAAAAAAAATGCCCAAAGGGGAACACAAGTCCAGTGCTGTCTGCCAGGAACCGGTGACACAGTAAAATGAAATTACCCCAGATTCCACTTTTTAAATAATGGAAATTAGTCATTTTAACAACTATATGTACATTTTTGGACAAAAGTATAAAAATAAAGAGGAGAAAATAAAAGAACTGGAGGAAATCAAAGCAAATCAGATTGATTGTTTTTGATTCCAGGTCTGCTGAATTACATTTCCAGAGATGATTGTTGTTACTAGAACATCCTGTGTGATTCTTTTTTTTTCTCTTTCCTCTTAGGGACGTAATCAAGAGGATAGACCAGTCAGAGTTCGAGGGATTTGAATACATCAACCCCCTGCTGCTATCAGCAGAAGAGTCCGTATGAAGGAGAGAGCAGCTTCCTCTTTCGCCCACCTTCTGTCTGTCCAAGCAGCCGTCCTCGCCGAAAATAAAACCACCAGAAGCCAACTGTGGAAGGCAAGGAGGACGCCCAACTCACCGCAGGAACGTGAAGGCCAACAAACGGGAGAGATTCCTGCCTGGACTATCGGATGGTTTTACCGAGTAGCAGACTCTCCAGTCTGTCTTAGTTTTTAGGTGGAACACAAACCCTGGACTACGAGGATGCCCCGGACCTTCTGTTGTCCTCTTCCCTTCTTTTTCTTTCTGCCCTTTTCCATCCTTAAATCAAAGCACGACCAGCTCTTTCATGCCTGAACAGAAACCTGTTATTCTGTGCCTGCCATCATCAAAACATCTCAGCCCATCTTACATCCTGGGATGAACAGGAGAGTTCTCTGAAAGATGATTTTAACTGCACTTTTTCTTTATTTCTGTTTTATATCTTGTAGATGGGGCCACGCCTCAGACCAAGCAAGAATGTACGATGACAAAATAAAAAAAAAAATTAAGTTATTATGTATTATAATGTAGGAAGAAAATCCTAAATTGACAATGCCTTTTAATGATGTAAATGACACATTCTCATTGGCGCCACCAGGTTCTTTTTTTAATCTTTTCTGATCGTCTGTGACTAAACGTGGGACGCTAACGGGGAGATGAGTTTTATTGAAGAAGTGCCTCAAAGATCAAATTAATTCTGTCTCTTATTGCTCCAACTACACTTCCTTAACCCATCATGGCGTCACTAAACCCAAACAAAGACCTCTTGCTTTCAGTTCAGACATCAGTGGAACCCTTCGGAGGTGATTGTCTCTCAGGAGAATCAGGACAAGACCAGACGCATAACATGAGAGCTTTATGTGTCCTTAATATGTAAAAAAAAAAAAAAAAAACTTGTTTACTAAGAGGTTCTTGTGGGGAACAGGTGCTGTTCCGGGCCTTTAACTTACTGCCAGCTGAAATCAGGTTTCCTGGAAAATGGTCAGTTTGTTGGAAGAAACAGAGCACTCTACTACTTCTAACGGCCTTGGTGTTTGGGCCAAGCCCAGCTCGTTTCCGTCCTCCATGGCAGTAGGGACCTATCGCATATTATGTCTCCATCTCTACACCAAGGCTGTTTTTGCTGGGTATGGATTTAGTTTAGAGCTCCTGTAATTGGTTCTTCCTAAAGACTGGGCTATGGATCCCCCAGTGGAACACAAAACCCCAAGGAAGGGTGAAATGGATCATGACCAGATACAACCTAAGGTGAGCTTGATCTGGAGGATGTGTGGGCTTTGCCTTAAAGATGGCATTAGGAGCTGTTTCACCTGTCCAGGTGAACCAATGAGGTCCATCCATCTGATCAGGGTGCTTCCTGGTGGGTCCCACTGGGAGGAAACCCCAAAGACAACTCACACTCATCCATCCATCCATCTTCTGCTTATCCAGGGTCGGTCACGGGGGTAGCAGATTCAGTAGGGAGACCCAGACATCCCTCTCCCCAGCCACTTGGGCCAGCTCCTCAGGGGGAATCTAAAGGCATCCCAGCTGAGAAACTAAATAACTCCAGCGTGTCCTGGGTCTCTCCCTTGGCCTCCTCCCGGCGGGACGTGCCCTTAACACATCCATCGAGACGTCCAGGAGGCATCCTAACCAGATGCCTGAGCCACCTCAACTGGCTCCTCCTGACTTGGAGGAACAGCTCTACTCTGAGTCCTCCCCCGATGACTGAGCTCCGCCCCCTATCTCTAAAGCCGGGCGTACACTGTGCCATTTTTTTTTCAATTGTTGCACCCAGCTACTGCTCACACTGTACGACTAAACCGCATGGTTTAGTCGTACAGTGTGAGTTCACAGCTCAGGATTTATGTTTGGCCCGACGTTCTCATGCGATCTACCTGTTCACACTGTACGACTAAAAACCATCTCGAACTCGGTGCAATTTTGTGCTAAAAGCCCTAAAAAGAAAAGGCGACGACATGTTTGGACAAAGATATGGCTGAGCAAACGTGGCTACTACGGTCTGTCAATTTTACAGACAGAACTGCATTTCACTCATAGCATCCCTGCCATTCTGCTGTGTTTACATCTGAGAGGAAGAGTAAAAAGAAAAATCCTTCTTTGCACATTTTCAATGACTCATTTGCCCACGAAGATCAGGATAAAATCAAACATGTTTGATTTTCTCCCGACCTCACGATTCCTGATCGGGAGGTGGTCGTGAGAGGCTGATCGCCCCTCGTAACCCCCTGTACACTATACGACTTACGACACACGATCAGGCTGAAAGTTGGCCCGAGCGAAAGATTCTCGCACGACTGGAAAATCGCCCCGAAAATCACACAGCGTACGCCGGGCTTAAGGGAGAGCTCAGACCCTCTACGGAGAAAACTAATTTTAGCCGCCTGTATCTGGGATCTCATTCTTTCAGTCATGATCCAAAACTCATGACAATAGATGAGAGTAGGAACGTAGATCGACCGGTAAATCGAGAGCTTTACTTTTTGGCTCAGCTCTCTCTTCAACACAAAAGGGTGGTACATTACACGCCTCCCAGCAGACGCCGCACCAATCCAACTCACTATCAGTCATACGATAAAATTATTAGTCCATCCTTTTTTTCTTTAATGTCTGGTTCATTTTAAAGCCCGGTACCTCTAAAGGTAATTACCTGAAACATGTAGTGAACACAACTAAAATGCAACTGATTATGTAACACTTTGTCCCATTTGACATGTTCTGTCTGAAGCACAATAATTATTTGAAACCACAAAGGCAGCCATCTTGACACTGCTGGAAACTGGCATGAGTAAGACACAGCTAGCTGAACAACTGAAGACCTCCAAGATGGCCAGTGTCCATTGGGGACCACAATGGCTCAAGAAGTAAAGAAATCATTCTGTAACTGTTGGGTTGCTGGTTAGAGTCTCAGTAGTGGTCTTGGGTAAGACAATTCACCCTCTTTAACTGCTCATTGGTCAGCGATGCCGCTACATGGATGGCAGTTTTACTTATTTCAGTTTTGATATCCAAGCACAGGCAATTTCCAGCATTACAAGCTGAACATAGTGCAATGAAATCAGTGGCAACGAGAAAAGAAAAAAGTAAAGGAGAGTTTGAAACAAAGTATTTGAAACTGGTGTGAAGTCACACAAAGCTATCTGAGGAAAGCCCTGGAACTGATTGCACAAGAAGTGGACTTTTGATGATTGAACTAAGGTTATTGTTGGTGATTAATCTAACGGTTTATGCTTGTTTGACCCTGCAGTAACAGATGGGATTGCAATTGTGCGAAGGGTAAATGAAATGGGTCCTGTACTAGTGCAGGTACCAGATCTGCTGGGGTCCTGCTTCATGCTAGTGACATTACGCTACATGACTGGCTGAACGTTGCCACATGATGTAAAAAATGGTGGTTGCCCAGACAACGATAACATCTCACAGCGTCAGTGTGTCGAATCAGGAGCGGTCTAATGACCGATGAAGTTTTACCTGATCGATAACAAAATGTGAGCAAAGTAACTGCTAGACCATTATATAACCGGGTGAAAGCTGGGTAGCGCTGTGGCTAGCTGTGTTCAGTAGCTAAAGGTTAGCTTATTTTAGTTTGGTCAATTAGCCGTATTAAGCTACATTATTTTCAACTTTGTGTAAACAACAACAGTTCGTTTTCTAAAAGTAGATAGATGTTTTCTCTGTCTAAATTCTCTACGAAAGTAATTTTTAAGAATTCTCATTTGTCCTCCTCTGCCCTCAGATTTTGATTAAAAAGAATAAAATAAAATTCAAATGACAGAGCTCAGTCTGTCTTAGAAGGCTGTGCTTTCCTTCAAGACTGACAATGATTGTTTTCTACTTTTGGCTACTTTAGATCGCCAATGAAATGTGAAATAATAGCAAATATAGTTAATAATATGTTGAGATTCCAAAAGAGATCTGATTCTTGAGATGCGGCTGCATTACAGTTTGTCCGAGTGGAGTAGCCATATGTTGACTATATAAGAAGGGGCGGGGCCCCAAGCAGATCTGGTACCTACACTCCAGTGTAGGTACCAGATCTCTTTCCAGCCTTAAATGACTGGATTTTCCAACAAGGCATACCCCCTGCCTCGTAACAAGGTTAATCAAAGCCTGGATGGAGGATCAGAACATTCAAGCCATTCCTTCACCTAAAGTCAAACACCAAATGAGAAAAAAAGAGCTCCAAGACCAAAGCTAATTAGTTTGAGCTTGTGCAACAGGATTGGGCTCCAGTGGCAACAGAATGTTAGAAGCTGTTGGAGAGGACGCATGGCTGCAGTCATCAAAGGCTACGGTTAGGCAAAGTATTGACTCCTTCGTGAATTAAACAGACAAAATGAAAACATTGAATGTCTGAATGTTATTTTTGGCCGTAAAATGTCATATCTATAAATTAAAGAACTAAAGTGATTTTGTTCATTTTCAAGAAAACAGAACTGGTTAGATGTCAACTCTTAGATTAGACTCTTATGAGCTACTCTTGTTGCTATCAAATTACAATGAACTGGACACTAAAGGAAAAAATGGTGGTTCAAGTTTTTCCATGACTGTATACCCATTCTGGGATCTTCAATGAGGAGCTGGAAGGTGTGCCTGGGTACAGGGATCTGGGTTCCCCTCCTGGCTCTGTTGCTGTGACGTCAGAAAGGTTATAGCACATGGGTGGACTACAGATCCACTTTGGTTGTTGGCCAAAATAAAATAGATTATTTCCGTTTACTGATGTCATTTTACCAGACTGACTCATTGTGTCCCGATGCCAAGTCTATATCTTCTGTCAGTATCTGGACCAGAGTCGGTTACCTAAGCTCAGAAACTTTTTAGAACCAGATGAATCTGGTCAGCTTTTCTGCATTTAAAACCATTAAAAGTTTCCAGAAAACAGTCCCGCTCTGCTTTGACCCAAACCTAAACTCTTCTAACTCTTTGCTGAGTTCTGGTGCAGGAGTAAGATACAGAAATGACAGCAGTGAGGGTCTCCAGAGATCAGGTTGGGCTTGAGGTTCTGTTGAACATTAGATGGAGTATTTGTTTGGGAAGGCATTTGCTTGATTAGATATTTAGGCTGTGTCCGAACGTCCGCCCTAACCCCTAAATCCCTCAATCACTCTATAGAGCGGGGACCATATAGTGGACTTTCTAGTGAAGTCAGTTAACCGACCGTTGCAACAGATGATCAATACTTTTCGCTCCCCGATGGTCACATAACTCCGCCTCCCCGCCCAATGCCAGTGCCATCTTTGTTATTTATTGCCGCCACAACAAATCCCACAAATCGGGATAGCATTCGGGATACATCTGCCCGTCTAGTGACCATGGATGATCAACACTTTTCAAGGTGCATTGTGGGAAATTTTAAGGCCACTACTTTTTTATCCACTAGACGTTCTGACACTCATCTAAAATGGCGTAACCACTGTACAGTGATGAGGGCGGGTGTTCTGACACAGGCTCAGTCTTTTGAAGTTTGATTCCAGTATGATGTGAATTTTATCATGAATCGGTGAGGACCCTGTTGGCCTACCAACTGGAGCCCACTGCAGGGCATTGATATCCTGTCTTACTTTTTGTGAAGGTCCTTGTACCGAGGTCTAAATACTCAAAACCGTTCAGGCCAGTTAAAGCAGGGATTTGGTTTTATATTAGTAGCACCAACTACTGTCTATTCTGTTGGTGTTCTTTTGGACTGGTCCGATACACGGAGCTCATTAAGATGCTGCGTGCTGCTCCTGGAAGACATTCGTCAGTGAAAAGGGTTCCAACAGGAGCTGCCCAGTTCTCTGTTCAGTGAGGGTCTCATGGTTCTTATCCGGTACATGAAGTCCCCCCCCTGCAGCTTAGCTGTTATGGTTCCATGTTTTAAGGTGATCAGGTTCAAGTTGTTCCTTGTACTACCACTCTCACAGCTAAAGTCTAATGAATCATTGGAGCCTTGAACTGTTTCCCATTTTGAAAAACGTCAGGATCATCTTTTTTGATTCCCTGGTGTTACAAACCTTTTCTGGAAGGCCATAAAAAGCACAGACTGTTCTCCTAAGATGGATGCTGAATGATTGTCCTTTTAAAGAAACTTAAAGCTGATGCACCAAATGTACTATTTAAATACAGGTTTTTAAATCTTGAAGAGTCTGCAAACACCAGTGTTCTTCCATTTTTTTTTTTCCGGGACCTTTCCTAGAACAGAACTTTTCTGTTTCAGGACTTTGTGAACATTATAGCACCGGGGACGGAGGTAGGTCTCTTCTATCTGTGTGCTTCAGGGGTGAAGAGGAGCTCTCTGCAGGCTGGGAGTTATTAGATGTTATTATATGTGACCTGTGCTAATTTGATAACGACAAAAGGATCAATTAGCTCCTCTTGACTTGAGTCTCATAATCTGCAGGGTTGCAACGGAGAGATAATGAAGTGCTTCAGTTTCCTCCAACATGCTGATGAAGATTAGAAGGTGAAAATTGGAGGATGCCTCCCAAATCCCTTCTGTTTGGCTGCATGTTCTACAATGTTTTGTTCAGCTTTTTTAAACAGATCACAGTTTTTTTTTCTTAGGGACCAATGGATGAACTGGAAGTCCAATTCCAAATTTCTGAACAATGAAGGCCATGAGACACTGAGAATGACCATGATTTCTTTCAACACGATGCTAGGTCTGTCCGCTTAATGTTGCTTCATCACATTGTAAATATCTGTAATTATTAAAAATGAAACTGGTTTTCCGTGATCTGAGTGCATCCTTGTTTTTATTTGCAGAGTGTGGCGGCTAAATCTTTTCTGATGCTCTGTTTTAGCTTTGTT